GCACGCTCGCAAAGCGCGGCAGGCGTGGTAGTTCATCGACACCAGGGGGGTGCGCAGGGGGTGCGGTCTCTATCCGTCGCACGCTCGCAAAGCGCGGCAGGCGTGGCATTTCCTCGACACCAGGGGGTGCGCAGGGGGTGCGGTCTCTATCCGTCGCACGCTCGCAAAGCGCGGCAGGCGTGGCATTTCCTCGACACCAGGGGGGGTGCGCAGGGGGTGCGGTCTTATCCGTCGCACGCTCGCAAAGCGCGGCAGGCGTGGCATTTCTCGACACAGGGGGGTGCGCAGGGGGTGCGGTCTCTGTCCGTCGCACGCTCGCTCGCAAAGCGCGGCAGGCGTGGCATTTCCTCGACACCAGGGGGTGCGCAGGGGGTGCGGTCTTATCCGTCGCACGCTCGCAAAGCGCGGCAGGCGTGGCATTTCCTCGACACCAGGGGCTGCGCAGGGGGTGCGGTCTCTATCCGCGCACGCTCGCAAAGCGCGGCAGGCGTGGCATTTCCTCGACACCAGGGGGTGCGCAGGGGGTGCGGTCTCTATCGCACGCTCGCAAAGCGCGGCACGCATTTTTCGCAAAGCGCGGCAGGCGTGGCATTTCCTCGACACCAGGGGGGTGCGCAGGGGGTGCGGTCTCTATCCGTCGCACGCTCGCAAAGCGCGGCAGGCGTGGCATTTCCTCGACACCAGGGGGGTGCGCAGGGGGTGCGGTCTCTATCCGTCGCACGCTCGCAAAGCGCGGCAGGCGTGGCATTTCCTCGACACCAGGGGGGTGCGCAGGGGGTGCGGTCTCTATCCGTCGCACGCTCGCAAAGCGCGGCAGGCGTGGCATTTCCTCGACACCAGGGGGGTGCGCAGGGGGTGCGGTCTCCATCCGTCGCACGCTCGCAAAGCGCGGCAGGCGTGGCATTTCCTCGCAAGGGGGTGCGGTCTCTATCCGTCGCACGCTCGCAAAGCGCGGCAGGCGTGGCATTTCCTCGACACCAGGGGGGTGCGCAGGGGGTGCGGTCTCTATCCGTCGCACGCTCGCAAAGCGCGGCAGGCGTGGCATTTCCTCGACACCAGGGGGGTGCGCAGGGGGTGCGGTCTCTATCCGTCGCACGCTCGCAAAGCGCGGCAGGCGGCGTGCGCAAACCTCGTCTGGGGTGGGGGTGCGGTCTCTATCCGTCGCACGCTCGCAAAGCGGGCAGGCGTGGCATTTCCTCGACACCAGGGGGGTGCGCAGGGGGTGCGGTCTCTATCCGTCGCACGCTCGCAAAGCGCGGCAGGCGTGGCATTTCCTCGACACCAGCGCGTGGCTATCCGTTTCCTCGACACCAGAGGGGGTGCGCAGGGGGTGCGGTCTCTATCCGTCGCACGCTCGCAAAGCGCGGCAGGCGTGGCATTTCCTCGACACCAGAGGGGGTGTGCAGGGGGTGCGGTCTCTATCCGTCGCACGCTCGCAAAGCGCGGCAGGCGTGGCATTTCCTCGACAGTAGGGGGGTGCGCAGGGGGTGCGGTCTCTATCCGCCGCACGCTCGCAAAACGCGGCAGGCGTGGCATTTCCTCGACACCAGGGGGGGTTCGCAGGGGGTGCGGTCTCTATCCGTCGCGCGCTCGCAAAACGTGGCAGGCGTGGCACCCTCTCGATCCCACAACGGGGTGCCTTGGGGGTGCGGTCTCTATCTGTTTCGTGCTCGCAAAGTGTGGCTGGTGCGGCGTTACTCCTCTTCCACCTCTCCTGTTGAGTGGCGTCACCAACGGTATCGGCGGGGCAACGGCCACCAACATCATTTTCACATGCTTCATTTCAGCTGTCATCACTCCAGTCATCATATAAGTATCTGGGGTTCCTCGGTAGCGTAATTTTGGATCCCACAGGTTTGCAGGTCCCACAGGTCTTGCAGGCTTCGCAGGCCCCACAGGTCCCGCAGGTCCCACAGGTCCCACATGACCCAGAGGTGTCGCAGGTCGTCCCGCAGGCCCCGCGGTTCCCACAGGTCCCACAGGTCCCACAGGTCTGACAAGTCCCGCAGGTCCCACAGGTCCCAGGGGTGCCGCGCGTCTCGCAGGTCCCACATGTCCCACAGGTCCGACAGGTCGCGCAGGTCCCACACGTCTAGGTCTCACGGATCCCCCAGGTCCCCCAGGTCCTGCAGGTCCCACAGGTCCTGCTGGTCCCACAGGTCTCGCAGGTCCCGCAGGTCACGGAGGACCCACGGTTCCCACAGGTCCCACGGGTCACACGGGCGTCGCGGGTCACACAGGCCCCGCGGGCCACAGAGGTCCCTCAGTTCATAGAGGTCCCACAAGTCCCGCACGTCCCACAGGTCCACAGTTCCCACCAGCCACACAGGTCCCACAGGTCCCACATGTCCCATAGGCCAGAGAAGCGCCGCAGGTTTTACAGGTCCAACGGATCGCACACGTTCCACAGTTCCCACCTGCTCCACATGTCCCACAGGTCGCCTCTGCTGCTACTATGTTGCTTCACTCGGGTAGCGAGTTTCCAGGGCGGCTATGACACGCGTCCACGGATAGAGAAACAGCAGCGCAATGGCAAGTGATGTTGCGAGTTCACCTTGCTTGGTCTCCTCCTCCTCGCTTTACCCCTCCTTCTCGCCATTCCTCTGCGTCGTCGTCCTTCCCATGCTCCCTTACCTTACTGTCACCTTCATCCTCCCCCTTGCTACCACAGCATTCTTATTTTCTTTCGCTCTTCCCTCCTTCTCGTCCCTTCTTCCTCCTCCGTCCTCGTTCTTCTCCCTTCTGATCTCTCCCCTTTCTTCCTCCTGTCTCCTCATCCCACCTCCTCCTCGCTCCGCCTCCTGCTCCTTCCCTCCTCCCTTCCCCTCTCGCCCACTGGCGACGTGCGCGCTCGCCTTTGCCCTTGCCCTCTCCCGCCCCCCGCACGGCCCGTCCTTGCTCTCTTTCATCCTCCTCCTCCTCCTCTGTGTTCTGCTTTCGCGGACACCCGAATCCTGACTCCCCCTCCCCTGAAGCTTCCCATGCCCTGCTTCCTCTCGTGCGCACATCTTGCCCACTTCTGCCCTGCAGGGCGCCTCGGCGCCCCCTCCTCCGCGACCCCACGGCGCCCCGCGCGCCGAGACGCCGCCGCCGCTGCAGCCGCAGCCGCAGCTCCTCCTCCTCCTCCTCCTCCTCCTCCGCCTCCTCCTCCTCCGCCTCCTCCTCCTCCAGCCCCCCCGCCCGGCCCGCCCGGCCGCGGCCCTTTCCCCCCCCCCCCCCCGAGGAGTGGCAGCACGGCAAGGCCGCCTTCCCCCTCGCCAGCGCCGCGCCGCAGAGGCCGCGCGCGGGCCCCCGGCCGCTCCGCCGCGCGGCCTCGCTCTGACGCCCGCGCGGGCAGGCCGTTCGAAGGAGGTGCCCCGGCCCTCGAGGGACCGAGGAGGTCGGCGTCTCGCCTATTTTGCAGGTCGGCCGGCAGCTGTCCCACGGCAGGGGATCGATGGTAGATCGAGGCGCGTGGTGTCGCGACGGCTTCTTTTGTTGTCCGTGCGAGTTCGACGCGCTCCGTCGCCAGAGCGGGCGATCCCGATTCGGAGCTGCTGAAGCGGCCACAGACATTGGGTTCTTAGCAGCGGACGCTCAAGGACTGCAAGACACGGGTCAGGCAGGCCAAGAGGAGGATAACACACACATCAGTCACGTCGTGGTCTGTATTCGTCTGCGTCGAACTGCAATTCGTGATTCCAGTCAGGAGTATACAATACATACTTTAACCATCACCTTCAACAGGGGAGGGGGGCGATGGGGCGCCTTCTGCTGCCAGAGCGCTGCTGCGTCCGCCGCTGCGGCCCTCGTGCTCGGCGGCCTCCGAGGAGTGGCGGAAGCGCATGCCCTGCTCCCTCGACCTCGACCCCAGTCCTCGCCGAAGGGGGGCTGCATTCCACCGCCACCGTCAGAGCGGAAGGGGAGGGCTTGATGTGGAAGATAGGGGAGGTATGACAGGAACAACAAGGGGAGTGAGGGGGATGGCACGAGAGGGGTGTGACATCCAGCTGTCGTCGGCCCACTTTGCCAGTGTGTCCAGGGTGTGGGTCAAGGCTCGTCGGGAATGGTCGAAGGCCGCAGCGTCTTCCCACCCATGTTCTGGAGAGCCCCCATGGAGCTAAGAATCTTCCACCTTCACGTGCTTTGGGCAGTGCGGCCCCTCATTTTGACAGTCGGGCTTGTTCTGGGGATGGACAGTGAACATGTTTCTGTGGAGCCCAAGTGGGTGGAGGCCAGATGCCGTGCGCGAGGCTACTGTTGCCTACCAGCCTACCATGTGTCTCCTCCCCATGGTACCTCTCTGGACTTCTCCAGACCCCTCCGAAATTTGAAGGGTCCTCTGAAATCAAAGCTCCCATGCCATCCGAAGCCCTTGGAAGTCCTCAGCTTACAGGAGCTCCCACAAAGCTATCCTGAACCCTTCGAAAGCCATCCAAACAGTCGAAGCCTTCCGACGTGTTCGAAACTCTCCGAAGCTCTGTTCAGAACTTGAAAGCCTCGTTTAGACGTCCGAATAATTTCCAAAATCCTACGAAGCCATCTGAACAACTTCCAAACTCCATCCGACACCTTAGTTCTTCACGTGGACACGCCGATCCGGCAGCGGGATCCTGTGGGCTTTTATGGGTTCCCGATCTACCCCGACCCCGTGAGTTTCCAGTCCACCCTGATCTCGTGAGTTTAGCAATCCTGCAGTGAGATCCTGTAATTTTTCGATCCACGGGGGGACCGTCAACACGATGGGTTGCCTGGTGCAGAGGAGGCGCGAACATGGATTGAGGCCCGTGAGTTAGGGACGGGTCCCGTTTCCGTACAGAATCGGCGCGCTCCGTCGCCAGATGGGGCGGCATCGGCCCCATTTTGTCGTTTTCGTTTTTTGCTCTGGATCCGTGGATCCTGCGCCCACTCGCCAGAGCCACGGATTCGTGATCCGTGCAAGCGTTGTCCCGGAGAAGGCGAGAGTGTGGGATCGGCGAGAAGGCTGGTGTGGCTTGGACGTACTGCTCGTAGCAGCCCGTGCAGGGCGCGCTCCCGCGCACACCGCTTTCCACCCGACACAGACACCGACCCCGATTCCGACTGCCTCCGAACACGCCCTCGGGATGGGGCTGGAGTCAACCATGCAGATTGTGTGGGTACGACGAAAGGTACCCGCCTCCCACGGAGGAGTCAGCGCCATCGAGTCGGGTACCCAGTAACGGGTACAGTAGGTTTGTGTCATGTTGACGCGGCTGTGACCCCCGCGCGGGCGTTCACGGTTGCACGCCGCTGGTGTTTTTGAAGCGGCCAAGATGGAATTATCGAAGACGTCTATTGCGAATCACCGCCACCCCCTGCCTTTTGGAGTCGCCCATGTGGCCGAGCGTCGTGGCAAGAGCTCTGCCAAGCTATCGGATCATGTGTTCCCCGGGCCGTTGTGTGAACCCTTCGGGGAACATTTGGGAGGGGATGGCGGGGAAGATCAGGAGGAGAATGAGGAGGATGATGAGGAGGAGGTGGAGGAGGAGGAGGAGGTGGAGGAGGAGGAGGAGGAGGAGGAGGAGGAGGTGGAGGAGGAGGAGGAGGAGGAGGGTGCATCTTGGAGTCTCTGGGGGCCTCTTGGAGGCATCATGGGGGCTTCCATGGGCCTCTTGGGAGCCTTAGGGGTCTTCTCGGGGAGCCTCTTTTCCCGTCCTCGGGCGTTCCTGGCTCGTCTGATGCCGTCGGAAGCCGTCTTTGGGACCTCTCTAGACCGACTTGGGGCGCTCTTGGGGTGCTGCAGGGCCGTCTTGGAGGCCATCTTGGGCGTCTTGAAGGTCTCTTGGGCCTTCATGGGGCCCCCCTCTGGCCCGTCTTGGGGGCCTCTTGGGCCGTTCTGGGGCCATCTTGGAGGCCTCTTGGGCGATCTTGGGGCGATCTTTGGGGGGCTCTTGGGCCGTCTCGGGCCTTCGGAAGGTCGAACAAACATCCTTCAATTATCTAAGGACAATTCATGATTTTGCCCTTTTCGGGCCTTCCTGGAGGCCGTCTTGGAGGCCTCTCGGGGGTCTCCTGCAGACCTTTTGGGCCGTCGCAAGCCATCTTGAGGCCATCTTGGGCCGTCTTGGGTGCATCTTGGGGCCATGTTGGGGTCTCTGGGGGCCATCTTGGCCGTCTTGGAGGCATCTTGGAGGCCATCTTGAGCTGTCTTGGATGTCCTGCTCGCGGCTTCAGGGCATTCCCCGCGGTTCTCCGCCGGGACACGGGTCTCAGGAGGGGTCCAAGAGGGGGACCACAAACTGAAACCTCGGGCTCTGCGCCCCAAGAGGACCCAGGAGACCCCAAGGGGGCCCCAAGAGGGCCCCAAGAGGCTCCCGAGAGGCCCCCGAGAGGTCCCCAAGAGGCCCCCACGAGGCGCCGAAGACACTCCACGAGGCCCCCAAAACGGCCACGAAACGGCCCCCAAGAGGCCCCAGAGAGGTCTCCCGCGACATCCCAACGAGCACTCAAGAGCCCACGACCCAGGCGCAGTGGCGGGATGGGCGGGAAGCCATCAGATCCGCCGCACCCTGTGATCTTGCCACAGGGGTGCCTGGTGTGCTAAACCCTGTACGGCTTGGTTTGGGTTCTTTTTCCAAAACTTCCCTTGGGGGTTCGGCGCATGCCGCCGGCCATCTGGAAGGCCCGGAAACGAGCACAACGTCTACAAAAGAATCGCCAAGACGGCCCAAGATGGCCTCGAAGACGGCAAAGATGGCCTCCAAGTTCGCCCAAGATGGTACAAGATGGCCTCCAAGACGGCCCGAGAGGGTCCGATGCCTCCAAAAGTCTGCCCAAGAAGCCTCCAAGACTGCCCAAGAGGCCCCCAAGAGGACACCAAGACGGCACAAGAAGTCTCCAAGAGGTCCTCCAGGCCCGAAAGGCCAAAATCATTGAAGTTCCTGAATCTCTGAAGGATTTTAGTATTTGCTTGTTTTCGGCCTTCCGACGGCCCCAGACGGCCCAAGAAGCCCCCAAGATCGTCCCCAGAGCGCCCAAGAGGCCTCAAAGAGGGCCCCAGGACGGCCAAAGAAGCCCCCAAGACGGCCCAGAGGGGGGCCCCATGAAGGCCCAAGAGACCTCCAAGACTCCCAAGTTGGCCTCCAAGACGGCCCTGCAGCACCCCAAGAGGCCCCAAGTCGGTCCAGAGAGGCCCCCTAAGACGGCTTCCGACGGCGTCAGACGGCCCGGGAACGCCCTTAGACGGCGAAAGAGGCCCCGAACAAGCCCCCAAAGGCCCTCAAGAGGCCGAAGGAGACCCCCAAGAGGCATCCAAGAGGCTCCCAGGAAGCTCCCAGGAGACCCCAAGAGCGCCTCAAGAGGCTTCCAAGAGGTCCACTCCTCGTCCTTCTTTTCCTCCTCCTCCTCCTCCTCCTCCTCCTCTCCCTCCTCTTCCTCCTCCTCCTCATTTTTACTTTTTCTCCTCATTCTCCTCTTCCTCACATGTTTCCCGAATGGTTTCAACGACGGCTGGGGGAACACATGGTCCGATAGCTTGGCCAAGATCTAGCCCAACTTTCGGCCACACAGGCGCTTCCAAAAATGCAGAGGGTGGTGGTGATCCGCTGTAGGCGTCTTCGATCCACCGCCCCGTGTTGATTTATCACAGGGGTGCCTGGCGTGCTAGATCCTATACAGTTTTTGGCTTTGACTTTTTTCCAAAAGAAGTCCCCCTGGGGCTTCGGCTCAACGCGCCGGCCACTCGGAAGGGATTAGAAATCAGATCAACGTGCGCCAAACTCCAACGACTTTTCATGTGATCGAAGTGTCTGAAACTGTTGGCCCTGGTAGGCCTTGTGTGTAAGTAGATCTGCTTCCTCATTCCATTCCCGATATTCATTTTTGAAAAGATCTCTGACAGCAGCAGCTGGACGCATCTGGTACCTAGAACATAATATCATCGAGACTGGTAATCATGATGTCGATGCGTGATTGATAATGGTGGTTCTCGGCCCGCCATAGGCCACACAACCAGCTGATAACCAACATGGAGCCACCCGCAATCTCGATAGGCACCCCACTAGCAGACAAGTCCCACTCGGTAGCTTTCATGTTGTTCAATGCTGGGCGTCTGCTGAGGCGAAGTCGTGCCTGAGGCGAGTCCTCTGGCGTTGCCCTGAGCTCCTCACTCTCGACCAGAAGCAATGGCACGGAGCCAGCATGGATACCCTTACTTGGTTTGGAAACATCCAAGCATAGTTTTAGTACAATGGTGCGTAGCAAGCTGCATACATTGATGAAATCCACTCTGGAAACACTCCCACCATTCGGGGTCGAAAAACTCATGAAATGGAAATTGCCAGGAACGTTCACCGATACTCCTCGCACCTCCGCTCCACCTCTTCATCGTACTGCTCTCCCTCCACTTACCGAAAGCTCTCATGGCCTCCGTTTCGTTTGTACGTAGCGTGTCCCACAAGTTGCCATACGCAAGCATACACATACGTCAGTCCCTCCACGCCCTGTGCGTTGTGATCATGCCCCTGCCGTGCAGAAGAGAATGCGCAAACTCCGCAACGTCTTTTGCCACGAGCCAATGTGTATGGAGAAACTTCTGAACTAAGCTCGGGAAACCCGTCCCCTGGAATTTAGCACGTGCCGTCTGATACCGTTTCTTGTTCCACTCAGCACAAGCCTCATCGGGAAGATGGGCTGTCTTGGAGCGTCGGGAAGCCGAAAAGGCGAGAAAACCAAGAACGTTCAGAAACCGAAGGGACATTCATGATTTTGGCCCTTGGGGGCCTTCTTTACCAGGCCGCTTGGACGCCTCTCGGGGCGTCGTGGAGGCCTCTTGGGCCGCCTTGGGGTCATCTTGGGCGTCTTGGGGCGGTCTATGGACGTCTCGGGGCCTTCTTGGGCCGCCTTGAGGGCCGCTTGGGGCTCTCTTGGCCCGTCCAGGGGTCCGCTTGGGCCCGCAAAAGTCATGCGGGAAGATCCCGGGAATCCCACTACGGGGCATGCGACAAGCCCGGGGAGATTTGGCAATTTGGGCTCTGGGCCCCTGAGAGACCCTCCAGGAGTGAGGATTGAGGCCTGAGGGCACGCCCGCTCCATGCCCAGAGGCACGGTGGCGGATCTGGCGATCGAAAAGCCACCCATCTTTGAAGTTTGAAGGATCCTCGCGAGGTACGCCGGGGTCGTTATGACACGAACCTGCCGCAGCCCGGCAGCGCGCAGGAGGCGCCATGAGATGGGCTGGAAGGCGCCCCCTCCGCAAGAGACGGCGCGGGAGAGCGGCGGGGGCAGCGCCACCTTCCCGAATCGGTCAGAGCACCTGTCTTCCCGAGCACCCGCCATCGGCGTCACCCCAACCTACTTATACTATGTGTGCATGGCCCCCCCCCAGGGATGGCGCGCGTACCGAGAAATCTCGTCGTACATGCATCGTGGCAGGCGCTTTCTGGCCACACCGCTCGGGAAACGACATACTACAAGATGGGTATACTATCTGTTCGGGTTGGACGCGGGCCTCCAAAGAGGACACATCGTATTACCATGTATCTGTGCGTCCCACGCCAGGGGTGTCGCTGCAGGGGGACTTCGCCGTGCCGAGCGCCAGCCAGGGATCGGCGACACGCAAGAGCGATCCTCCGCCAGAGTGTGACCTTCGGTGCGGGCCTCCCGGGGTACTCCCCGCAGCACTGGCCTGCGCGCTCGGATTTGGCCCCCCCCCCCCCCCCCGCGGTGCTGCCGCGCACCTCACTACCGTTTGACCTATCCCCATCCCCACCAGGCCATGGTATCTCAGCCCCACCATCCCACAACCCCAGTTGGGGATGGGCCACTCAATCGCCCAGTGGGCCACAGGCCACGCCGGTGGGGATGGGGATCGGTCAAAGGATGCTCAGCACCGGAGGTCACTCCTGCCCAGGGCCACCCTGGTGTGTTGCCGAGGGGAGGAGGCGCCTGAGCGCCGCGCGCCTCCCCCCCACCCACCCCCGCCTGAGGCGGTGCACGGCGCCCCTGCTGCCGTCGGCGGACCGGGTGAGGGCCACGGGCACCCTGCTGCCCGCCGTGGGAGGCCGCCGCCGCCGCGCCCGCCGCCCGCGGGCAGTCGCGCCCTCGGGGACTCGGCGCCCAGCTGGGTATTTTTTCGGCCTGGTCCGGGCCCCCGGGGGCCTCACGTCCATCGCCAGAGCACGTGAGCGACGTGGTCGATTGCGCGGACATTCGTGCGCGAGTTTCCTGAGTACAGTCGCGTGTGAGCGCCCTCTTCTGCACGCTGTGTGCCACGCTGGCGGCCTGTGTAAGCCGCGGAGTGGGGTCGCTATGTCTTCTCGCGAAAGGCCCGTTTCTGTTCGTCGCTCGTGTGCGTGTCTCTCGAGGAGAACTGGCGCACGGGTAGTCCGCCCTCCGCGAGGTCGGGGAGGCCCTCGTGGCAACTGTCCCCCTGGGGTCCAGGGCATGATTCCAGCAGCTCTCGACGAGGATCTTTCTCGGCGGTGTATCACGAACTGATGGTGATGGTGATGGTGATGATGATGCTGATGATGAGCATGATGATGATGATGATGATGATGATGATGATGATGATGATGATGATGATGATGATGATGACATCGATGAGTATGAATATGGTGCTGACAAATGCGATCAATTACACGAATATTTATAGTCACAATGCGATGATGATGCTGCTGAGATGTTGATGATGCTGATGCTGATGATGATATTGATGATGATACTGATGATAATGATGATGATGATCTTTCAGCGGATGATGCTGATTATGATGATACTGATGGTGGTGGTGATGACGATGATGATGCTGATGCTGATGATTATAATGATGATGATAATGATGATGATAATGATGATGATGATGATGATGATGATGATGATGATGATGATGATGATGCTGATGCTGATGATGATGATGAGGATGATGATGCTGATGATGATATTGATGATGATATTGATGATGATAATGATGATAATGATGATGACGACGATGATGGCAGTGCCGATGGCGACGATGATGATGCTTGCTTGATGAATGCGATTGCTATGATGACGACGACGTTGATGCTGCTGATGATGATGAGGATCATGATGACGATGATGCTGCTGCTGACAATGGTGATGATGTTGCTGATGATGATGATGATGATGATGATGATGATGATGCTGATGCTGATGATGATGATGACGACGACGACGACGACGACGACGATGATGATGATGATGATGATGATGATGATGATGATGATGATGATGATGATGATGATGATGATGATGACGACGATGCTGATGCTGATGATGATGATGATGATGATGATGATGATGATGATGGTGATGGTGATGATGATGATGGTGATGGTGATGAGGATGATGGCGATGATGATGAGGATCATGATTTGAGGTGTGTGGCTTTTGGCAGGAGCCGATCCTGCTCTGCTGTCCTGTCCTTCCCCGTCACGTGTTTCATTGCCCCAGAGGGAGCTCCACCCCCATGGGCACCGTCCACATGCGTCCGCGCCACCCATTTCGGCACACCCCTCGCACGTTCCGTGGCCCCATAACCAGCCCCATCCAAGGCTCCAGTATCACAATCCACATGCGTCCGCGCCGCCCATGTCGGCACACCCTCATACGGTCGTGGCCCCATCAAGGGATTCCACCCAAGGCCCCATTTGCACCGTCCACATGCGTCTTCGCCACACATTTCCGCACACCCGTGCACGTTTCGGAGCCTCAGAAGGAACCCCACCCAAGGCCCCAAGAGCACCGTCCGCATGTGCCCGCGCCACTCATGTCTGCACACCCCTCGCACGCTTAGTGGCCCTAGACGGCTCCACCCGAGGGTCCAATGTCACCGTCCACATGCGTCCGCGCCACCCGTTTCGGCACATACGTCACGCGTTTCGTGGCTCCATAGGCAGATCCCCAATGTCCCGAGTGGCACCGTCCACACTCCCATGCGTCCCCGCCGCCCATTTCGGCATCCCCCGCACAGATCATGCCCCCATAGGGAGCCAAGCCGAAGCTCCCAGTGGCGTGGCCCGCATGCGTCCGCGCCGCTCATCTCGGCACACCCTTCACACGTTTTGTGGCCCCATATGGGGGCCCACGTAAGCAGCCAAGCGGCGCCGCCCGCATGTGTCCGCGCCGTTCATTTCGGTGTACCACTCGCACGTTTGGTGGCCACACAATGAGGCCCAGTAAGGCCCCCGTGTCGCCGCCCGCGTGCTGCCCCGCCGTTCCTGTCGGCGCACCGCTCACATGCCTCGTGGCGCAAGTCGGGAGGTCGACCGAAGGCGATAATCACAACTGCGTTACTCACTACTGCAGATCGATTTTTTTGTTGCCAGGATATCGATATGAAAACACCTCCCAGGATTTTGCCATTGAATGTCTTGCGTCTCAGATTGTGTTGTGGGCCCCCGGTTTACAACAAATGCTCAAGTTTAGCATTTCATTCGAATTATATAGGAATATTCAAGATCAGGCTCTCGCGCTGGAGGTCTTCACTATTTATTCAGGAACTGCGCTCACGCGTGAGACTTCTTCATTTATCGAATCGCTGCGCTGCCAACACGCATAATTCACTCTCTCGTTTTGGATTTTTCCATGATTCATGAGTGACTCCCGCTATCGCTCGAAACTTCCTCGCGAATTCATGCAGGACTGATGCTTCAGATCCGCCCGCTCGACCCTGCCGTCTGGGCCCGCCCGTCCGACCCGCCCAGCCCAACCAGCCCGTCTGATACTGCCAGTTGATTTCCTGCTCCGAACCTCCATACTGCTAATCTCTCTCGTGCTCCATCCTTCTCTTTCCACCCTGCCTCCTCCTTATCTCTTGCTCCATGTCCGTGTCTCTTCCCCCTTCTTTTCCTTGTTTTCTTTGGGTGTGGGCCAACGAAAATGGCTGGTAGGAAGAAATACCTCCAAAGGGGGTATGTTCGAAGACGAAGAGGGGGAGTATCGAGGGTTTGGGATATACGTTTTGAATGACACGTAAGTAGATCAGAACGAACAGTCTTGAATTGATACTTGTTGAATTTTCATTTTCAAAGATCAAGGATTGTTGCTCCCCCTGGTGCACATGGTTTTTCCTATTCAAGTGCTCTCCCTGGGGCTCGCACCTTGTTTTCACAAGGGGAAGTCTTGCGCCTCAGATGGTGTTGCTGGCCTCCAGTTTACATCAACAACGGCGCCCGCTCAATGTTTCCTTACATTTTTTTCGAAATGGCGCTCTCCTGCGGGACGTCCTCACAATTTAGGAATCGCGCTCTCGCGTGAGACGCCGCGCCCCCAACACTCAGGAATCATGCTCTCGCTTCGGACTTCTTCTTAGATTTACTTTGGAATCGCGCTATCGTTCGGGATGCGGTCGCGACTCCTGCAGGACTGACGCCTTGGCGACCCGCCCGCTCGATCCGGCCGTCTGGGCGGGCGCCCGCCCCGCCCCGCCCGCGTTGTTCTGCCGCTTGCTTGTCTGCTCCTGATACCCCTCCTGCTCATCTCTGTCGTGCTCCATCCTTCCCTCTCTCTCCGCTGCCCCTTCCCTCCTCCCTTCCCCTGCCTTGGGGGCGGAGCGACCTGCAGAAGGCGGGTAAGGGAGATCTGCCCCCAAGGCGGTATGATCGAAGACGCAGAGGGCGGATACCGAGGGCTTGGAGTTTGCATGTTGAGTGAGACGCGAGCAGATAAGAACGAGCAGTCTTACCACTGTCGTCGTCGTTCTTTGTTGTTGTTGCTATTGTTGTTGCTGTTGTTGTCGTTGGTGTTGTTGTTGTTGTTGTTGCTGTCGTTATTGTTCTTGGTGTCTTTGTTCTTGCTATTGTTGTTGTTGTTGCTGCTGTTGCTGTGGTTGTTGAGGTTGTTGTTTGGTGTTTGTTGTTTGTTTGTTGTTGTTGTGGTTGTTGTGGTTGTTGTTGTGGTTGTTGTGGTGGTTGTTGTTGCTGCTGTTGTGGTCGTTGTTGTTGTCGTTGTTGTTGCTGCTGCTGTTGTTGTGGTTTGTTTTGGTTGTTGTGGTTGTTGTTGTTGTTGTGGTTGTGGTTGTGGTTGTTGTTATTGGTTGTCGGTTGTCGGTTGTCGGTTGTCGGTTGTCGGTTGTTGGTTGTTGGTTGTTGGTTGTTGGTTGTTGAACATTATTACTTCTAAAGAATAATTATTGTTGGGACCCCTGGTGCGCGACCCCCCTCCAAAACCTAGGCCGCAGCTACATTTTCATCATTTTTTAGCGAAAGCTTCAGAAAAGTGAATTATTACCGGATCCGGTTGTTTTGTTGTACTCCGTTTTCCCTTGCAAAAAACACTATAAAATGAAAATTCTTGTTCTTACTTGATCAAATTGCAAGAATCCCTTGCAAAAAATAAGGTAAAGTGGACATTCGTGCGCGCAAGACGAAATCCTTCCAAAACCTTAGGTTTCGTAGCGATTTTAACATAAAAACATCAAAAACCCAATGGTTTTTTAAGAAAAAATTGTCAAAATGTTCTTCCGCGCGCTCTTGCGGATTCGTAGGAAAACCAACACTTTTTAAACAATTCTGTCAAACGGGCTTTTGCGAGCAACTTTTTCGAACTTCTGCGACAACGTTTGCGCACCTGCCAGGGCCATCATCCCTGTCAAATAATACCATGCGGGACATATTCGTTTTTTCTTCGCGCGCGCACGCCGAAATCTCCAAAAATCATTGGGTTTTTAAGAATTTTAGCACCGCGCATCATAAAATCACACGAATCGCACCGTAGCTCTCCTCTGGCTCTCTGTCTTGCTCTCTCTCTCTCTCTCTCTCTCTGTCTCTCTGTCTTGCTCTCTCTCTCTCTCTGTCTTGCTCTCATATCATGCGCAACAAATGCACGATGCGGGGCACATGCGGGGCCCAAACAAGTGATTAACCTCTGCGGGTGTGTACTCCACGCCAGTGTAGTATCCACGATCGTCCGCGCGCCACGAAGTGAAGTGTCCTGACGTCATAGGGCGGGAAGCTGGGTGTGGGTGGTTCCCGAGAGTCGTGTGGATGTTTGGTAGAGCTTGCATTGCCCCCCCACGAAGTGGGGGTATTGGCTGGC